CACACACACGCTCATATAATACATATATCTCTATACAATACACATACACACTCTTACACACTCATACATATGTGCATATAAGCACAGAAAATGTAAGTAACCATATATGCACACACACACAAGCTTACATGCCTGGGTGCTGATAACTTTGAGGTAGTGAATGGAGCAGGTTTCTGTAAGTTAAAATGAGGTGATGTCCACAAACCACTTAGCAAGTGCCAGCTGTGTAGTAAGCACCCACTATATGCTAAGTGCCTATTTTAAATGACACCCTTATCAGAGAGAGTTACCAGATAAATTACTAACCTCTTCAGTGAGGTTAGAATGGAGCCAAAAATTGTGTACTATATGAATACATGATGACCGGTTAAATTTACTTTTAAATTTCCAAAAATTCAGGAAAGTCAAACTTTTATCACAAACATGTAGATAGTTTACCAATAAAAGATCTAAATCAGTCTAAATGACATCTCATAATTTCAAGGTGGAAATGTATAAGCTATTATTTAACTCCATGAACACATCACCAAAGTATGTCAAACTTTATAATCTCATTAATACTAACAAAATCATTTGGTATTCTTCTTTGATAAGAGATCATTTAAAAAAAAAAACGGGAAATAAAAGTGGCCAAAACATGTCTGAAAAAGTGTAATTCACCGATGATCTGAGGATTGTAGGTTAAGTAAGAGGCTATTTTGGGCTGTCAGCCTGGCACAGATCAAAGGAAGGCTGATGGTGCCTTGGTATACTGTTGCGGGTGTAGTGTAGTTGGCACACTCATAGATTGTTCATAGAAGTATAAATTGGCATAAGTCATACTTTTCAAAGCTAGTTTGACAGTATAGTTGAAAAGTTTTAATACAGCTTTTATCTTATCAAATCTACTTCTTGGATTGTATCTTAAGGAAATACAATCAGACAAACACACAAAGGTACTTGTGCCTGCATGCTCACTGTGGTAGTGTTCATGATGACAAAACACTGGAAACCACCTGAATGCTTACAGTAGAAAAATGCTTCAATAAATTATGACTCTGGCCAGCCACTGAAAAGGGTTAGAGAGATTGACTAGGGCCAGCATGGGAAGATGATGTGTGCAAACTACTTGGGGCCTGCTATGCAATGAACACTCACTGTGTGCTGTGTCTATTTAAAAATTGGTTTTTATTGTTAGTTTTTCCTTTTATTGAAAAATATTTTTTCTCACATAATATATTATGATTACAATTTTTCCTCCCTCTACTCCTTCCAGCTCCTCCTCCTCCCCTCCCTCTGGGTTCATCTCCTTTCCATCTCTCATTTGAAAATAAACAGGCTTCCATGGGATAATAATAAGGTAACATATAATAAGATGAAGCAGAAACTAACACATCAGAATTGGACAAAACAGACAGAAGGGAAGGAGCCCAAGAGAAGGCACAAGAAACAGAGACCCACTGGTTCACACTCAGGAGTCCCCTAAAAACACATAACTGGAAGCCATAGTATCTACACAAAGAACCTGTAGGGTAAAAAGAGAGAAGAAAAAATATAAATAAATAAAAACAGAAAGTAATAAGATAATACAATCCCCCCAAACAAAAACAAAGAGCCCCAACATGACATTAAGAGCCTGGGAATCACCATAGATGCCCTTGAGTTCCTTTTCTGTTGGCATGCAGCTGACCCCTAGAGCAGTTTGTTTCCCTGTGAGACTCCTTTGGAGGACACTAAACTTTCATTTGCGTGTGGTTAACAGTTGGAGATAGCTTCTGGGTTAGGGATGAGGGCATGTGTCCAACTCTCCTTTCAGCTCTAGGACCTGAGCTGGTGCAGACCCTGGAGGTTCTGCACATGGCATCTCAGTCTCTGTGAGTTCATATGTGTGCCAGCACTGTTGTGTCTAGAAGGCCTTGATTCCTTGGTGTCTTTCATCCTCTCTGGCTCTTATACTCTTTCTGACTCCTTTTCTATGGGGTTCCCTGAGCTCTGAGGGGAGGGGTTTGATGCAGACATCACATTTAGGGCTGAGTATTCCAAGGTCTCGTTCTCTGCATGGCTGGCTGAGGGTCTCTGTATTTGTTCCCATCTGCTGCAGGAAGAAGCTTATCTGATGTTGGCTGCACAAGGCACTGATCTGGGAGTACAGCAGAATGTCATTAGGAGTCATTTTATTGCTACATTTTCCCTCTCCTAAATACCTATTTTTAATGATACCCTTATGAGAGGGAGTTACTAGGCAACTTGTGAAGGCAGTACTATACTTATTTCTTTGATAAAATTGTCTTTTGTGTAACTAGGGCCCCAAACCGTGTATTGAATGAATACATGTCACTGGTTAAAATTTACTTTTAAAGTTCTAAAAATTCAGGAAAGGGGCTGGAGAGATGTCTCAGTGGTTAAGAGTACTAGCGTTTCTTCTAGAGGACCTGAGTTCTGGTCTCTATGGGCACCCATACATATGTGGCATACACTCATACACACACATACTCACAGATAACATATTAAAGTTCAGGAAAGCCAAACTTTGATTATAAATAATACAAACATGTAGATATAGTATCAATACAAGATGATGCCATTTTTACAATTTTAAAAAACATAGTATACATGCATAGAAAAAATTCCTGATTATAGACATCTTTAGGGAAGTTATAATTTATATACCCTAAAATTCCCCTCTGTAAAGTACAGTCCAATGATGTAGTAAACTTACCCATCGTACAACCATGATTTGGGTGGCTGTTTTGGGTAATGGTAGGGTCAGGGTTCCACTATGTAACTGGGCTGGTTTTGGATTCTTTGTGTGTGTGTGTGTGGGGTGGGGTGGGGTGGGGTGTTTCTGGAGCCGTTCTGGAACTTGCTTTGTAGACTAGGCTAGTCTTGAACCCATAGAGATTAACTTGCTTTTGCCTCCTGAGTGCTGGGATCAAAAGAGTGCACCACTACACTCAGCTGCTTTTATATTCTTAATTGTCCATTCCTTGGCTTTGGAATGGCATTTTATAACTTGTTTAAAATTAGTTTTATTTTTATGTGATGAGTGTTTTGCTTGAATGTACCATGTGGGTGCCTCTTGTCTATGGAGGTCAGAAGAGGGCGTCGGATCTCCAGGAACTGGAGTTATAGATCACTGTGAGCTACTAGGTGGGAGCTGGGAACTAAACCTGGGTCCTTTGCAAGAACAAACGCTCTTAACTGCGGAGCCATCTCTCCAGCCCCAAATTTTAGAGTTTTTTATTATCTTCTTCCCAAGTTGCTTCATACTCATAGTCTTCCTCTTTTGGCCATGCCTGTTATTTTAATTCTAAAGCGTTTGCATGAGGTTCAGTCACTCATTCCCTGTCCTATTCACCAGGTCTGTTTTTTCACTCCTTCCTACCCTGGAATGTTGCCTTGCCCTTGGACACCTTGATGGGTGACCCCGCCTCTGCCCTGAAATGGCTTCTGTCTGGTGGAGGAGGGGAAGTAAATCATTTGACAAAATCCAGGCAACACCCACAAAGCCCCAGCAGAGCTGGAATCTCGAGACTTACTAGCTCAGGTAAGAGTCACCAAGGGCGGCACCAGTTTTCTGGCTGTGGAGGTGGCCCAGAGGTTACCCCTGTGGGAGTGTCACCACTCCCGACGCGATCTTAAACAATCTCCTTTTTACTTTTTTGAGACAGGGTTTCTTTATGAAGCCTGGTTACTCTCGAACTTGTGATCTTCTTTCCTTAGCCCCCCTCATCCCCAACTCCTTGTCCCGGGCTCTACCACAACTACCTTTTAAACAGTTTTTACAACCTGTGTTCGCACTACCTCCCCATTTAGCAGAGTTCAAGGTTGAGCATTTGCTGGTGCAGGCACCGCGCAAAGGTTTCCCATTTATTGTCTCTTTTGATCTAAGCCACAACCTTCCCCAACCAACAGTAAGGACAATCGGGATTATCGCCAATCCGGAATCTGATGCTCTATTCGAAGTCCCTGAACCGCGGCCGAAAGCCCAGGTTCCCGGCTGTCCCTTCTCACTGTATTCGGGTACCGGTTCTGGAGCAGAAACAGCCCACTTTGAACCAGCGCAGCCTGCTGTCTTTCCCGCTTCCCCACTTCCCCCGATGCAGAAAGAGGCAACATCCGCCGGC